AGAGGCGATCATGCCAGAGCGTGCGCGCGTCCGACGCGGTCTACCTCCGTCCATCACCCTCTTCCATCTACCAGGTCAAGGCGTCCGCGCGCCTCTGCCTCGCCTTCCGCGCGACCACGGGGCCATCTTTTGCCCAAGTCTTAGGACATGCCCTCAGACGTCACGTCTGCGGCCCGAGTTTACCAACATGCGCAGATGCGCCTGGGAGAATTCACGCCGCCATCGCGCGCGCGCGTGAGCTCCTCCAGTGCCGCCCCCACGAGCGCAAACGAGCCACCCGCTGAAAAGCGCGAGCCTGCGCCCCGCTGCGTCTGGTGTCACCTCCTCCTTTCTTCTCTTGTAATTCTAGTTCCTGCACCTCCTCCTCATCCTCCTCCTTTCCGTCCTCCTTCTCTTCCTCCTCCTCCTCCTCCTCCGCTCCTCCTCCTCCTCCTTCTCCTCCTCCGCTCCTCCTCATCCTGCTCCTTCCGACGCTCAGAGAGGGAACCTGGCCGGACCACCTCGGGTCAGGGCATATCAGGGCCCAGAGTTGCGAGGATAAACGGGCCAGGGCACATAGCACAAGTCTGGGACGCTCTCCCCCAGGCCCCCTTTTCACGCGAGGGCCGGCTCCCTGCCCCTGCTCCCTCGCCTCCTCCTGTTCCTCATTTTCCTCCTGGTCCTCTGCCTGCGCCTCCTCCTCCTTGTCCTCCACATCCTTCTCTCTTTCCTCCCGACTCACCCAGAGAAGGAACTGGCCAAACCACTTCGGGTCAGGGCGGAACCCAGTGTTGCGAGGCTTTCTCGGGCGAAACGGGCCAGACCTTTTCGGGCCAAAGCAAATCGGAGCCCAGCGGATAATGAGGAGGATGATGAGAATGAGAAGGAGAACAGGTCACAAGCCGACAGGAGGACGAAGGTGGACAGGAGGAGGAGGAGGAGGAGGAGGAGGGGGAGGAGGAGGAGGAGGAAGAGGAGGAGGAGGGGGAGGAGGAGGAGGAAGGCATGAGGAGGATAACATAACACAAATCAGGAGTAGGACGAATATGAGTAATTGGGGGGAGGATGAGGATGATGATGTGGATGAGGGAGAGGATGAGGATGATGCTGCTGATGATGATGGCGGTGATGATGATTACGATGATGCTGATAGTGCTGATGATGATGCTGCTGATATTGATGCTGCTGATGATGATGTTGATGATGATGATGATGAAGATGATGATGATAATGCTGGTGATCGTGACGATGATGACGATGATGATGAGCGCGATGATAATGATGATGCTGACGAAGATGATTTTGATGATGATCATGATTACGATGCTTTCGATGATGCTGATGTTGATGCTGTTGCTGCTGCCACTGATGACGATGATGATGCTGATGCTGATCCTGATGATGATGATGATGATTATGATGATGCTGATGATGTTGATGATGATGATGATGATGTGATGGTGATGATGATGATGATGATGATGATGATGATGATGATGATGGTGATGGTGATGGTGATGGTGATGGTGATGGTGATTGTGATGATGATGATGATGATGATGTTGATGCTGATGCTGATGATGATGATGATGATGATCATGATGATGATGCTGATGATGATGATGATGATGATGCTGATGATGATGATGATGATGATGCTGATGCTGCTGCTGATGATGATGATGATGATGATGATGATGATGATGATCATGCGGATGATGCTGATGATGATGATGATGATGATGATGATAATGCTGCTGCTGCTGCTGCTGCTGATGATGATGATGATGATGATGATGATGATGATGTTGATGATGATGATGATGATGATGATGATGATGATGATGATGATGATGATGATGACGATGATGTGGAGGAGGAGGAGGAGGAGCAGGAGGAGTTAGAGGAGGAGGAAAAAGGGGGGATGAGGATGAAGAGGAAAGGGGCAAAGGAGTCGCGAGGCCCTTCCGTCCCGTCAGGCCCACCCTAGGAACTGTGAGGCCCGTACGGCCCTTCCCAGGGGAAAGGCTCGCCCTCCTCCCCCCAGCCTCGGGGGTCTCAGGTCCCGGCGGCTGGGGCACCCCCTACTCCCCTGTACCCCCCGCTGTGGAACATGCGTTTATACACACAAGTCAGGGATGGTCTTACTTCTGCAATTCAGTCTTGTGTTCTGCTCGCAGTGTTATAAGAGGAATTCTGATTATAGCCATTTTGGCTCAAGGCTCGCGAGTTTCAAAATCAACTTTTTCCAAACCATTTTCGATTCAGGGATGGCCTACAAGCTTATCTTCGCGACGGCATTCGCGCTCGCTTCCATGGTGGGCGCCGACCTGCATCTCATCCAGGTGTCCGTGCACAGGTCGGACGGCAATGAGGCGATTCCTGCGTCAACATCGCAAACGGCGACGTCGACGCATTTTCCGACGCCCGCGCCGACATCCAGCCCGACGCCATCTCCGACGGCGACAACCGACTCCAGCAACGCGACGGGTCTGTACGTTTTCGGTGCTTTTGGGGGCAACACATGCCCAAGCGGCTATACTCACATTGACATTGTCGATAATAGTATGTGTGTGAGAGAAGCACCAGCGTGTGTGTGTGTGTGTGTGTGTTTGCGCCGGGGCATACAGGGTTGGTTACGGCGCAAACATCCACAGGATCCCCAGCGGTGCAATACGGAACAAACAATCCCAAGTAATGCTTTTATGATGGCGGGTGGAACGGTGGCACGAATATCTAAATACTTCAACACGAGTGATGTTGGAGGATTCGATCAAGCTGGACATGAGCCATTGCGTATGCTCGATCGGGGGACGACGGCGACCTCGCCCCCGAGGCCCAGTCCGACGAACAGCCCGACAAGCAGCCCGACCTCCACTCCGACCGCGCTCTCGGCGTCCAGTCCGACGAATAGCCCGACATCCAGTGTGACCTCGCCCCTGATGCCCAGCCCGACGCCTTCGCCGAATGTGGTTTCTGCGGTCGGAGACCCTCACGTGTCGAACCTGCTGGGTCAAAGGTTCGGCTTGGCGGCCGGAAGGCATCACGTCTTGTTGAATTTTCCAATGTTCGCAATCGGTAAGCCGGTGCTCAGGACGACGGCGAAAGAAAGCGCAGAGGATCGGCGGCGCGCGCAGCGATGTCTATTTACATCCAGGATTTGAACATCACAGGCGCATGGTTGCGTGGCAAGCAGTCGTTCTTCAGCGTCACAGAGTTCGGGGGCAAGGTCGGGATGGGGAAGACAGCGTGGGCCAAGTATGAGAAAGCGTCCGTGCAAATTGCCCAGGGACGAACCGCAAATGGCGCTCGATACCTCAACGTCTTCACGAAAGGCTTGGCCAACACGGGGTACCTGGTCGGGGGCCTCTTGGGCATCGTCGACCATGCCGCGGCGCCGCTGCCTGGCCCGCAGCGCAAGAAAACATTGACGCTGTGAGGCTGCGGGTCGTGATTGGGGACGGTTCATAGGTCCGCAAGCGTGGGGGCCGGCTTCGGCACCTTCCAAGTCGGCCAGTGTGCGATGGCCTTGGTTAGCTTTCTGAATCGATTCTCCCCCTCCTCCCTCCCTCGCGCCCACCCTCCCAGCCATTCGTTGCCCCGCCTTTCCCGCTCCCCTCCCGTGCGAACCTTCCTGTTCCATCATTCCCCCCTGTTCCTTCTTTTTATGTCCTTGCCTCTTCAGCCAGTTTACATGTTTGTTCTGTCTGCGCCGAGCCTCTCCCTGTCTACCTCCCCCCTGCCCTTTCCCTCGTCGTGGCGCCGCGGGCGTTCGTCGATCAGCTGCGTGGGTTGCGCCCCCCCTGCGCCCTCCCGCGGTCTCCTTCGCCCCTCCTTCCCTCTCCCCCTTTGGCGTCTTCCTGCGCCCCCTCCCGCGCCCCCGCTGCGTCCCCTTGGCGCCCCCCTGCGATCCCCCGCGCGCCCCTGCGATCCCTTGGCGCCCCGAAGGTTTTTTTTGCACCGCGTTTGCCGCCGCCGCCTTAACTCGAAGCGTCGGCGCCTCGCTTGCCGGATTCATACCCGTGGATTATATATATATATATATATATATATATATATATTGTTGATTTTCTCTCTCTCCCTCTCTCTCTCTTTCTCTCTTAATTGCATTTACATCCACAGTCTCGTACGTGCACATGGGCATGTGTGCGCGCGCGGGAAAAAGTCGAGACAAACTGTCCTGGGGCGGCTTCTATCAGATCCCCGCCGCCAGCGGCGCTGCGTCGCTGTCGCGTCTCTTTTCGCTGGGCGTGCCAGGCCGCGCGGGCCAGGTGGCGCAGGTGACCGCGGGGCCCACTCGTGCCGGGCGCGCGCGTGCTTGGCGGTGCCGCGTGCTCGGGCCTCGACGTGCGTCGACGCAGGCAGAGTGCGCCGAGCGGCGTCAGGCGCGCCAGCGCGCTTGCGTGCGCCGGCGCCGCCCGCGGCCCGCGCCCAAATCAATGCGCAGCGACGTGAGCACCCGCGGTCAGTTTCATGGGTTTTCGTCGCGGATCGTGGGCGAGCGCAGCACAGGGCGAATGTGCTCGCCCACCCGTCTTGTCGGTCAAGAAACGCGCTGAAGTTCCCGCGGGGCGCTTGTAAATTTGTACATGGGTTTTGACGGGGGCGGTCGGGGTTAATTTTCCTTGTTCGCTCGACAATCGGGGGCAGAAATATGCCACCCCCCCGAAAAGAACAAGGAGGCTAGGATATCGAATTTGCTAAAACTACCTCATTGCGCCCACGGGCTGCTGGGTTCCTGGTCGCTGGTATTTCGTCTACTGCCGCGTGCCCGGATTTTGTCCTGCAGCTGGGCGCCACGAGCTCGATGCTCATTCATCTGCGCCTTTGGCGCTCGCTGGCGACTCGCGCCACCTCCCTCCATGCGGCCTGGGCCGATTGGCTGCGGAGTCGCCTTCTGCTGTTTGTTGCCGTCTTAACCCCTCGATGTCACTGTCCGCGGCAGCTGCCAGGCCGTGGCGTTGTGCCATGATGCGCAGCGTCGCGCGCGTATGTAAATGGGGCAGTACGTAGTTTCGAAGTGCGCGTAGCACAATGACGTCGCACACTTGGTTGCACTAGTGATGGCAAGACGAGAGCGCGCTGATCGACGCCCCTGGGTCACCGGCCAGGCGGCGCAAGAGCTTTGCGACAGCGCAATACGCGCGCGCACGCGCGCGCACGCACGCAGTCACGCGCGCAAGCGCATCCACTCACATATGAATGTGGACTTGCACGTGCGCGCGTGCGCGCGCGCGTGCGCGCCCCGGCGGGTGCAATTGCGCCGCGCCACGCGCAGACGTGCGCGCGTGCCCGCGCGCGCATGGGCGCTCGCATGCGCGCGCTCGCGCACTCAGGCCCGCCTTCGCGCAGTCATTCTCGCGCGCGCGCGTGATCGCGATCTCGGCACTCGCGCAAACTCGCTCCAATCGCGCGCGCAGTTTCCGTATCCATTTTGGCTCAAGTGGCCGTTTTCTCGAGGTGGTCGAGGAGCCCGCGGTTGTCCTGGGCGTCGGCCCCTTCTGAAGGCTGCCCGCGCCTGGCCTTTTTGGCTCCGCTCGCTTCTCTCAGGGTTCCACTTCTCCCGCTTTTCGAGGCCGGCCCCGCCGCGGCCGCCAGTGCGTCTTCGGGCGGATCCTGGATTCTGGAGGCGATGTCTGCGACGAGAGGGGGCCTGCTGACGGCGATGCGTCAGACCCGTGCTCGCGCCGACCATCTGGAACTCCAGGCGGCGGGGCTACAGATGCAGCGCGTCAACATCACGAATGAGACGCAGTACTTGGTGAACTCGTTGCCGGCCCAGTGAGAGGGGCGCTTCCAGGAGGCCACCGGCGCGGCAATCGAGGTTGACGAGGATGGGCTCCACGAGTCTATTGTTGGCCGCGCAGCGCTAGCAGTGCCGGATGCTCGCGCGAAGCAGAACATCGGAGCCATCGATGACCAACTGGCTTCGACGTCGCGCCGGGTGGCGCGGCGCTAGCAGTGGCAGGGGCTCTCGTGAATGAGAAAGTCAAAACGATTATTAATTGTCAACTGGTTTTGCCGACGCGCCCATCGTCGACCGGCGCGAACTTGGCCTCGGCGAGTGGAGAGTCGAGAACGTCGTGCTTTGCTCGATCTTTTTGCCGGGGCTCCTCGCGCGCAGGTGATCGCGATCAGCTCCGCCCGCGCAGCTTCTGGATTGGAGGTTGGCCAGGGGAAATGCCCGCGCAATGTCGCGCGGACCAACTGCAGATGATGAGCAGTCGCTTCGTCGTGCCAGTCGTTCGTGCTCTATCATCTTCGGTTTTCCTGGGCATGCTACGCGATTGAAGGAATTGGCTTTCGCATTCGTTGTAGACGGACTGCCGCAGCAAGTTTTCTCGATTTGTGGATAGGTTTCGCTGTGAGATTTCGCTTCCTGCCGGACTTCGCAGGAGCGCGCTGTCGTGGCTTCGGGAACCGAAGGCGAAGTTGCAGGATCAAGGCTTTTGGAACGAGACGCAGCGCATGGAGTGCTCTGGCCGCGGATCGGGGCGCTTCCAGATATCGGCAGAGATGACTCGCGGGCGCTAGTCACGCGCGAGACTGAAAATAGTCAATCTGCGAATTTTCCCATATCGTACTGAATTCTTCACGCTTCGCGTATCCCCACCAGCCCATCTCAAAACAGCAACTCTAGCGAAGCATGCCGACAGTCGTGATTTTCAGGCGTGTTTCCGCCTGCCCCCGCATATCTCCCCTGTTCCTCCTTCCTCCCGCCTCCTTGTACATCCTCCTTGTGGTGGGAGCGGGAGAAGGACGAGGCGGAGGAGGAGGGAGAGAAAGCGCTCCTCGTGGTTTGAGTCGTTCGGGCTTCTCGTCCTGGTGTGAGTCGTTCGGGCCCTTTTTCCTGGTGTGAGTCGTTCGGGCTCTTCGTGGTGTGAGTCGTTCGGGCTCTTCGTCCTGGTGTGAGTCGTTCGGGCTTCTCGTGGTGTGAGTTGTTCGGGCCCCTCGTCCTGGTGTGAGTCGTTCGGGCCCCTCCTCCTGCCCGTCCAGAAACGACGCCCAGGCGAGTAGAGGGTCGTCCTGATGGGCTTTTCGGCGTCTTGGGTGCCTCGGGGGGGCCTCTTTGGGCCGTTTGGGATCCTCTTGGGGGCCTCCTGGGGGCCTCTTGGGGCCATCTTGGGGCCTCTTGGTGCCTCCTGGGCGCTTCTCGGGGCCATCTTGGAGGAAATCGATCAAAGAAGAGGGGAGCTTTAATTAGCGCTGCCCCCTCAGAAGGCCAAAATGGGGCCAAAACCTTAGTAAAATCAATGATTCTGGCTTGAAAGAAGAGGGGAGCTTTAATTAGCGCTGCCCCCATCAGAAGGCCAGAATGGGGCCAAAACCGTAGTAAAATCAATGATTTTGGCTTCAAAGAAGAGGGGGGCATTTTCCCCCCCCCCCCCCTCCCCCCCCGTCGGGGCCAGAATCCTCGTGAGAGGTGTCGTTTTTTAGCCCTCCCAGGGGTCGAAAAAGACCCCCCCGGCCACCCGCGGAGGGACCTCTCCAGGCCCAGGGGGAGGGGGGAGGGGGAGGGGTAAACCCCTCCCCGAAGGGGAAGAAGGGGGGTTAAGAACAGAGAGAGCTCGCTAAACCACTCACGCCCAAAAGGCTGGTGGGACTCCTACCAGTGGAGGTTTGATGATGTCGAGATTGAGTCCGTTATGAGCATTGCTACCAAGAACACGCCATGCCTCCAGGATGGGAGTTGGCGGAAGCCCACGGCTCGTGCGGCTTCGCGGTCGCAGTTGACGGAGTTGGGGAACCGCGCCCTTGCGGGCGAAGGCGACCTGTTCAATTGTGCTGGCCGTGGTCCTGCCGTGCCAATAATGTAGCGCGTGCTCTCGGCGCGCCAGCTTTGCCTGCGCCTGGTCCTCGGGCTGCGCGGTGCGTGACGATTGGCGATTATCAGTTTCCCTGCTCTCCCCCGGCCCTTGTTTTTCTTTTTGCGTGGAACGCGGGAGGTCTCTTGATGTCTGTGCGCTCGCTTCGCTGGAGTCGCGCTGCCAGGGCGGTGAGATCGTTTGAACCCCCGTGCAATTTATGCCGCTGTCGTGGCCCAGTAAGACCACGGGAACCCTGGTGGTATTGATCCTCTCTCGGCTTCCCCTTCCCCCGCGTCCGGCTTCCTATTTCCTGACCGTGCGCGCGTTGGCGGTGCGATCGCGGTTGTGAGCGGTCGCTCTGTGAAGTATTGTCTTTGGAAGTGACCCGCGGGGCTCGCGTCGATGGCGGGCCCCCCCGCCTCCCTGAAGGGCCCCGGCGGTGGCTTTAACGTTGCCGACGTTCGCGTGCCCGGCGCGTCTTGCAGCGCCCACATCTACCAGAATGAGCTTCGCTCTAACAGCCGCGAGGTTCCGATGGGCGCGAAGAAATTCGCGCTTCTAGCGGGCGAATGGAACTTTACCCTGGAGGGTGAGAGCCGCCGCCAGGCCGATTGGGGCCACTGGGCTCCTG